ACCTCGGCGACAGAGGCACGTTGCCCCCTTTCGCCTCTTACCGGTTATTCCATTTTACCATCCCTTAGGAGACGGGTCCTGGGCATCTCCTCGGGCATCCACGACCTGGGGGCCCTGCGCTGGGAGCTGGCCCTGTGCCTCCTGCTCGCCTGGATCATCTGCTACTTCTGTATCTGGAAGGGGGTCAAGACTACAGGCAAGGTGAGGTGTCCCAGCTCCTCATAAGCCCTCCGTGGTGTCCAGAGACCATGGGGACACACTCTGGGGTCTGTCTGGAGAACGGAAAGAGGGTGTAGTCAAGGGCACAAGAACAGCCAGTACAGTGATGTTGAGCTCATATGAGGACATGCTTTCTTTTCGATCTGACATTTAGAAACCTAGAGTTCTGCTATGGGTTTTAATTGGTTGCGTATACAGGTAATACACAGAGCAAATGATGACGCTAGAAGACATGCACTAGCTCAGTTCTGAGATGACCGCTGTACAAGCCTTCGTGGGTAGCAGGGCAAACCAGCTCCTCTGTTAGCTCTGTGCTGCGTTGCCTTCTCTGCTGTGTGTGTGTGTCTATCTGGGTATACATACATCACGGGTGTATTGTCTGCAGCTAGGATCGTGCACTCATGACTTGTTTTTTGGTGCTTAGCAATCATCAAGGCCCTTTTCAGTGGGAATTGCCAAATGACTTGCCAAATGAGGTGGTGAGTTCCCTGTCATTGAAGGGATTCTTGCCAAGGCCAAGGTCGGACAACAGGCAGCTTGTTGTGGAGAGGAAATTCAGACTTGAGCATTGCTTCCAACCCAGATAAGCTGAGCCGGATGGCTTCATGCTTTTGAAAGCCGTCCGTCAAGGGGTAGGATGCTGGCTTCTCTGAGTAGCCACGCATCTAGGCAGCTCCTGCAGCCATCTTCTCCATCTGTGGATTGCTAAGAGTGGCAATGCCAGAGCTTCAAACTGCTTCATTCTAGTTCTACCTCCCAGCTGCGAATTTAGCATTGTACTCCAGATACACTGATTCCAGACTCTACGTCTGAACAAGACCCTCGGGCAGTTTTTTATAGATCTCCAGATCCTTTGATTCTTACATACAGACAGCAGAATCCTCGGAGATCTTGTGAAATTCCCTCAGATCCCCTTCCACTGAGTTTGATCCTGACTCACTCATAGATTGTGGAAGCTGTGAATCTTTGTGGAAGCAGATAGCCCCAGCTCTGTCCTGCAGAGAGTGGCTGGGGGGCTTGAACCATCAACCTTGTGGTTAGCAGTCCAATGCTTACTTGATGACAGCACTGCCCAGCCTCCTGTGTCAAACCTGTAGTTACAATAAAAATAGTAATCAAGGAGCTGAGCTTGATCGGGGCCCAATGGGTCACCCTCTGTGTGTCTCCGGGATGCCAAGACACCCATGTTTGCCAGTGTTCCGGCCACTGCTGCTGCCCCAGCAGCCTGGAAAAGTACACTCTAAATTCCACTACCACCCCCCTACCCCCAGATCACTGTACAAATCTCGTCACCCCAGGGGGCGGAGTCCCACCCTCACCGTGGGTGTGGGGAAAACAGCCAGGATTAAGGGAGATCAGACTCTGGATTTAAAAATAGTCTTTGAAATGTTATGGACTGGAAATTCATACCCCTTCCTCCTCCCCCCTCCCCTTCCGATTCTTATCTCACACTTGGGGAGTATGAGACCCACTGGAATGTATTGTAAACGAAGGTGTGGAAAGTTTCACACGCTCACCCCCCCAGAGTCTCTGCACTGTTGTGTACTGGGTATGACTCGTGCTGTCTGGGGAGGGTGACAGGTGGACCGCTGTGTCCCACCCCACCCCCTCCCCCGGGAGTGACCTTGACTGGCTTCCTTTCCAGGTGGTTTATTTCACAGCCACGTTTCCCTACCTGATGCTGATTATCTTACTGATCCGGGGCATCACCCTTCCAGGAGCCTACGAGGGCATCATCTATTACTTGAAGCCTGATTTGTTTCGCCTCAAGGACCCCCAGGTAGGTTCCACGCTGGGGGCTGTTTCCCACCTCAAATCAGACCTGGCCTTTTGCACGACCTTTATTGCTCCTCTTTGGGTTTAAAAGTAATGGATGCCTACTGCAGAAAAATTAGATAGCACAGAAGAAAAATTCCTAAAGGGGCCAAAAAATCTCACCATTCACATATAATCTGCTAACAATTCTTTCTCTTTCAACTTTTAAAAATGTACGCATATTCTAACATTCCTGAGATAATTACATACAAAGAGACAGAGTTTGATCGTTTTTCTTGACATTTAAATTAAGAAAATATTAAATGTTACCCTAAGTATTTTCTATGTTAAATTCATTTGTAAAAATCATATGTCATACTTGCATAATTCTTGTTTTATACATTCATTCATTGATTCATTCTTCAACAAGGATGGACTGAGGGCCCATTAGGTGCTAGTTACTGTTCTGGGAATTACTGAATGGTGGGAGCTGTTGATTAACCAAGAAGTTGGTGAGTTAAGTCCACCCAGAGGTGCCTTGGAAGAAGGTCCAGACTGTCGACTTCTAGAAAGGCAGCCATGGAAAATATCTGAGTCACGGGTCCTCTCTGACACACCTGGGGTCACCCTGAGTTGGACTTGACCCATCAGATTCTGGGAACCTACTATCTTCCTAGGGTCATTTATAGGGCAGTGAACAAAACATACCCCAGGCCCTGCCCTCTGGGCACCTACACCTTAGCAGACGTGCCACCATTGAACTTGCCCTTGTTCTTGGACATTTAAGTAATGTGTGTCTATCCACAATTGTAAATATAGCTGCAATGAGCACTTTGTATGTAAGTCTTTTGACCACACCTCTGATGATTTCCTGGTGAGAGTTAGAGTTGGAATGAACAAGTCTAAGAGCCTACAATTTCCGATTGTTGATATGAACTGACTTTGGAGAAATGTAGGCTTTCGTCATTGATGATTGAGGGTGAGTTTCCTTCCACAAGGTCCTTGCTAGGCTCAACTATATTTCTTTCAATCTCTGATAGTTTGGTAGACCAAAATGATATTTTTAATTTTAAGGATTTGAATCCTAGAGAGATTGGAATTTCCCCATAGATTATTGACCGACTGTATTCCCTTTTCTAGGATGTGTATGATCACATGCTTCTTTTTTTCCTTATATTTTTATAAAATATAAAGTGCTTTTCCCCTCTATTTTAATGAAGCTGCCGCTTGGCCCCAGGTATTAGTTGCCTAAACTACACTGTGCTTATCCAATAAATGGTGGCTGCCTTGGATTGCCCTGCAGGCAGGTTTCAGACACCCCTGGGTGCCCTGAGTGCTCAGGAGGTTGTCGTTGTACATCGATTCTGCCGAGTCAGTTCTGACTCAGCGCAAGCCTGTGGGCAACAGAAGAAAGCGCAGCCCGGGCCTGAGCCATCATCACGATTGTCCTTAGACTTGAGTCACTGTTGCGGCCACTGTGTCCGTCCATCTTGTCCAGGGGCTTCTTCTTTCCCCGCCCCTCTACTTTATCCAGCGGGATGGCCTTCTATAGCAGCGGTTCTCCACCTGTGGGGGTCAGCCAACCCTTCCACAGGGGCCGCCTGATCCGTAACAGTAGCAAAATGAGAGTTATGAAGTGGCAACAAAAATCATTGTATGATTGGGGGTCACCACACCACGAGGAACTGTATTAGGATCACGGCATTGGGAAGGTTGAGAATCACAGTTCTACAGGGACTGTGTCTCCTGACAACATGTCCAAAGTATGTGAGGCTAAGCTTCACCATCCTGGCCTGTAAGTGGCATTCTGGCTGTCCTTCTTCCAAGACAGATCTGTTGGCTTGTTTGTTTGTCTCTTGGCGGTCCATGGTACTTTCCACATTCTTTACCAGCAGCGCCACAGAAATACATCAATTCTTTGGTCTTCCTTCTTCAGTGTCCAACTTTCATATGCACAGGAGGCAATTGAAGATCCCATGGCTTAGGTCGGGCATTCCTTGGTCCTTAAAGTAACATCCTTGCTTTTCAACTCTTTAAAGTGATCTTGTGCAGCAGATTTACCCAGCACAATGTATCCTTTGCTCCCTTGACTGCTGCTTCCATGAGCAAATCCTTGACAACTTCAATCTTTTCTCTGTTCATCATGTTACCTAAGGTCCAGTTGTGAGGATTTTGGTCTTTCTTACATTGAGTTGCAATCTATATTGAAGACTACCCTCCTTGATCTTCATCGGTAAGTGCTTCAAGTCCTCCTTATTTTCAGCAAGCAAGGTGGGATCATCTGCAAATCGAAGGTTGTTAATGAGCCTTCCTCCAAGCCTGATACCTCATTCGTCATATAATCCAGCTTCTCTGATGGTTGCTGAGCCTACAAATGGGTTCAGTATGACGAGAGGCTACGTCTCTGATGCTCTTTACCTTTCCTGATCTTAAACCATGCAGTGGTCCTTGGTTCTGTTGGCATGGGTGCCTAGGTCTGTGTGCAGGTTCCATGTGAGCATAATGAACTCTGTTCTGGAATTCCCTTTCTTCTCAAGACTATTCATAATTTGTTATAATCCACATAGTCGAATGCCTTTGCATAGTTAATAAAACACAAGTAAACATCTTTCTCGTAGTCTCTGCTTTCAGCCAAGATCCATCTGGCTGCTACAATGGTATCCCTTGTTCCACATCCTCTTCTGAATCCAGCCGGAATCTCTGACAGCTCCCTGTCAATGTACTGATGCACCTGTGGTTGGATGATACTCAAGTAAAATGTTACTTGTATGTGATACCAATGATACTGTTGTTAGTTTGAGCATTCTCTTGGGTCACCTTTCTCTGGAATAGATACAAATATGGATCTCTTCCAGTCAGTTGGCAAAATGGCTGTCTTCCAAAATTCGTGGCATAGACGAGTGAGGGCTTCCAGTGTTTCATGAGCTTGCTGAAACATTTCAATTGGTATTCTGTCAATTCCTGAAGCCTTGCTTGTGGCTAATGCTTTCATATCCGCTTGGATTTCTTCCTTCAGCACCGTTCATTCTCAATCATGTGCTCCTTCCTGATGGTTGATGTCGACTACTGCTTTTTGGTACAATGACTGTGCATTCTTTCAGTCTTCTTTGGATGCTTCCTGCATTGTTTAATATTTTGCCCATAGAATATTTCAATATTGAAAACCAAGGCCTGAATTTTTTCTTGAGCCCTTTACATTTAAGATATTGCAAGGGTAGTGAATTATTTAATGTGCTCTTCTAGTCAAAATCTCTAACTCCCAAGTGACCTTTTCTTGCATGGGTCTGGTAAGAGGGTGAATACTGGTGGGATTCACCTGCGAGTCCTTGTGAACAGGATTCCCTGGGATGTCATTCTGCTGTGTATAAAATGAGTTCTCTCCGAGCAAGAGGAGGAATCTCATTACCAGGAAGAGCCAGGAGGGGAGCAAGTCCTTGAGACCCAAGATCCCTGTGCAGCAAACCTTCTGGATCGGAAGCCAGCTATAAAATGAGAGGAGCAGCGACAGAACCAGGAGCCGGAGCACCCAAACCGTGGAGCAAGTAAAGCCAAGAGCTTTTGTGCAGGAGACTGGCTTGCAGAGTGGGGCACTTCGGGGCACTTCACTCAGGGAGCTGGGTTTGCTGACCCACAGAGCTTATGCTGAATGCCTTTGGGTTGAGGCTTACAGCCGAATGTATATGCCCCTTTGGGCATTTATTAGTAGACCTGAAAGAACTTTGTAACATGTCCTGAAAAACAACTCTACCCTGGGCATTTTCACTGTCTTTATAACCTGTTAACTTCTTGGATAATCATGAGTTTTGTCAGAGTTCTGTGTAGCCACTGAAATGGCTATTAGGACCCAGAGAGGTAAAATAGAGCACCACAGATACAGTGCGCCTGTTCTTCCTTACTGCTTTTTGACCTCTATGTCTGCACATTTTCATAATAATTCTTGACTTTATCTTCTCGCACTGTCCATGTGAAATTTTGATTCAGCTATTTGACTTCTTCCTTTCTCCCATTTGCTTTAGCTACTCTTAAATTAAGATCAAGTTTCAGAGTCTCTTCTGATAATCACTTTGACCCTTTCCTTCTTGTCTTTTCAGTGGCCTTTTGCTTTTTTTCCATGCATGATGTTCTTGATGTCCTCCCACCGTGCATCAGGTCTTCTGTGATTAGGGGTCAATGCAGCAAATCTGTTCTTGAGATGTTCTCAAAACTCAGGTAGGATAGATTCAAGGTTGTATTTTGGTTCTTGTGAACTTGTTCTGATTTTCTTCAGCTTCCCTTGAACTTACACTTATGGGCAATTGATGGTTTGTTCCACAGTCAGCCCCTGGCCTGGTTTTAGCCACTGATATTGAGCTTCTCCATCGTCTCTTCCCATAGATATAATTGATTTCTGTGTATCCCGTCTGGAGAAGTCCATGTGTTGTTGAAAAGGGTATTGCTATGAAGAAGTCATTGGTCTTACAAAATTCTATCATGCGATCTCCACCTTCACTTATATAATCAAGACCATATTTTCCAACTACTGTTGCTTCCCCTTTGTTTCCTACACTTGCATTCTAATCTCCAATAATTATCAATGCATCCTGATTGCATGTTTGATCAATTTGACTGAAGAGGTTGAAAGAACTCCTTGATTTCTTCATCACAAGTTGGTACATATTTGAATAATAGTTTTATTGACTGGATTTCCTTGGAGGGCAGTGGTTCTCAACCTTCCTAATGCCGCGACCCTTTCATACAGTTCTTCATGTGGTGGTGACCCCCCAACCATAAAATTATTCTTGTTGCTACTTCATAACTGTAATTTTGCTACTGTTATGAATTGGGCGACCCCTGTGAAAGGGTCGTTTGACCCCACCAAAGGGGTCTAGACCCACAGGTTGAGAACCGCTGGATAGATATTATATCACAGACAACATTGGACTTCAGCGTAGACCTTGAAATGTCATTTTTGATGAATGCAATGTCATTCCTGTTGAATCTGTCACTCCTGGCACAGTAAATTCCAACTTCTAATCATTAATAGATATTTACAATTGTATTCGTACGTTCCGAGTTCTGATTATGAATACACTTGCAGTCATTTCTTCTCATTTTGAGACATGATCATCGGCAAATGAAGGCCCCTAAGACTTTATTCCCACAGGTTTTACTACATCATTTCATTATGATCAACTCTTCTTTGAGAAGGCAGCTCTTCAGTCATATTTTGAGTGTCTTCCAGCCGAAAGGGGCCCACCTTCTGGCACGGTTTCTGACAATATTCTGCTTCTATTCAGGAGGTTTTCAATGTCTAACGATGATTTGATGCTGCCCATAAGGCTTTCAGTGGCTGATTAAGCCCAAAGTGGACAGTCTATTCCTGCTTTGTAAGTGCTGCTAAAACCTGTTTCCTTTGGGTGACCTGCTGGCAGGGTCCTAGCCTGCTAGTGACCTAGCTTCCAGCGCCACACCACACAAGCCACCAAGTACGACAAACTCACCGACAAGTGGTGGTGCTTTAAGGAGGCCTGGTTAAATGCTCAGCTACTAACCAAAAGGTTGGTAGTTTGAACTCACCAGGGGCCGTGTGTGTGTGTGTGTGTGTGTGTGTGTGTGTGTGTTGCGGGGGAGCCCTGGCCATCTACTTCTGTAAAGGGTGTAGCATGGGAAACCCTCTGGGGCAGATGTACTCTCATCCTATAGAGTTGCTATGAGTTGCAACTGACTTGCTCACTCGCAACAACAACGTGTCTACCAGATCTCTTGGATGGTCCCGATGGTCAAAGCACTTGACTGCTAATGGAAAAGTTGAGGGTTGATTCCACCCTGAGGTGCTCCGTTTAATAAAGCTCGGGGATCTACTTCGAAAAGCACCAGCCATAGCAAACCCCATGGAGGGCAGCTCTAGTCGGACGCCGCCATGAGTTGGCATCCATCCCATTCAACTCATGGTGACTAGTGAACTGTCCACAGGAGCACAAGTCCATGTGGCCTCTCCGGTGAGGAGACCATGACCTAGACAGAGGAGGGCGAGTGAAGGTGGAGCTGGCCGGGAGGTGCCAGGCCCAGCTGGGCGCTCTCCTACCTGCCCTTTACCATTCTTGGGGGGCGGGGGGTCTCTCACAGGTGTGGATGGACGCTGGCACCCAGATCTTCTTCTCCTTCGCCATCTGCCAAGGGTGCCTGACAGCCCTGGGCAGCTACAACAAGTACCACAACAACTGCTACAGGTGAGAATCAGGTGGTTGGCTTGGCGGGGTGGGGTGGGGGATCCTGGCCGTACTATGCTTTAAGGGGATGGGCACCCCACAAGGAACCAACACCCAGTCCCTGGACGCAGGTGTTGTTTTTTATGACCAGGGGTCACAAGTTGTGACAAACTCACATCTGGGTTCTAATTCTCCCTCCTTTTTCTCCCCACTCTCTTCCCCTCACTTTTGATTCCGGACCCTGTCTCATCGTTTTCTTCCCATCCCTCCCCTCTCGGTCCTTGTCTGTCCCATTTCCTTTGAGCCTTCATCTTCTCTTGCCTCTTTACCCACTGACTCTCTTGACCTCCCACCCTCCCCCCATGATTGATTTCTCTCCTCCTCTTTGCTGTCTCTCCATTTGTCTGCTTGTCCCCCACTCTGTTCCCGCCCCCCAGGGACTGCATCGCCCTCTGCTTCCTCAACAGTGCCACCAGCTTCATGGCCGGGTTCGTCGTCTTCTCCATCCTGGGCTTCATGTCTCAGGAACAGGGGGTGCCCATTTCGGAGGTGGCCGAGTCAGGTGGGTGCCAGAGACCTGGGAGATCAGAGAGCCTTCCCTGTAGAAAGGCCAGCATCCCAGACACTGGGTGATGGAATCTTCTAGCAGGGGGAGGGAGTGAGGAGGAGGGAGAGCAGAGTGGGGGGAGGGGGTGTGGGGGGGAGAGATGAACCATTGGTGTGTTTCCCAAAGCCTGGAAGAGCAGGATCATGGGCGAAATTGCTGCGACCTCTTAAATCTGTTCTCTCTCTCTCTCATACACTCTGATGGTCTCACTCACTCTTTCACACGCACTCTCTCACGCACACTGACTCTCACATAGTCACTCTCTCTCTCTCTCACTCACAAGCTGACTTCGTGCTTGAGGAACAGGCTCGTTCTTACCTGAGGACAGGTGTGCCCTGAACGCACCTGATTGTGCTGTGTGCCGGCAGGTCCTGGCCTGGCCTTCATCGCATTCCCCAAGGCCGTGACCATGATGCCCTTGTCCCAGCTCTGGTCCTGTCTTTTCTTCATCATGCTCATATTCCTGGGGCTGGACAGCCAGGTACAGCCCTCTGCCCCACCTGCCCTTGTCGAGTAACCTGCTTGCCAGCGTCTGCCTTTTCTGCCACACCCCCTCTTTCATTACCCTTCCCCGGCTGGTCAATGCCAAGGCCCTCTCCACCAGTGTCCAGGGTGTTCCCTGGAGCTGGTTGGGTGAGCCTACACCTTGGGATTCTTCTGTTAGGGAGCCACCCAATTTGCTCCTGCTCCCCGCCAAGATCTCCTAAAGGCGACCCCAAACCTCCTTCCACACCTCCTGCTGCTCGGCTGCAGCCCCACTGTGCCACTGGGGGGACAGACCAGGCTCTCTTCTGCCCTCTCTGAACCGCCCTCTCCCCCTCCCAGCTTGGGGTCTCTGCTCTCTGCTCCTCTCCCCCCATTCCTGAGGGCAGCCCGGCGCAGGGGGAGGGGGGAGGTGGAAGGCCCAGCGCCAAGGACGAGGGTCTGACCTCCCTCACCAAGCCCCCCTCCCCCACACCCCTGCCCACAGTTCGTCTGCGTGGAGTGCCTGGTGACTGCCTCCACCGACATGTTCCCCCGGCAGCTCCGCAAGAGCGGGCGGCGCGAGCTGCTCCTCCTTGCCATCGCTGCAGTGTGCTACCTGGTGGGGCTCCTTCTGGTCACCGAGGTGAGCTGCTGGGCAGCCTCCAGGGCGGGGGAGCCATGGGGGAACCCCACCCTGACCCCCTCAGAGCCACAGTTCATGCAGCTGTGCAGTGGGACGATGACAGCAAGGCGTCAGGGAGCGCCCATTGAATGCACCTGCGCTCCTGCCAGAAACCCAGTGTAAGCCGGCTGGGCAGAACAGGGCAGTTGGGGAATTTAGGGGAGCAGGTAACCGACAGAAAGCGCACAGACATCCTGGTTTTAGGCACGACGGGATCCTGTTGCCCCGACGTTGTCAGGAATGCCCTTTCCTCCGGGAACTTTGTGCACGGGCAGGTTTTCCTTCGGCTGATGTTCCATCGTGTCTCTCTCCTCCCATCTCCCCAAGCCCAGAGGAAAGAGAGAGCCTTTTCTGGAGAACACAAGCTGCAAGCCCGGGCAGGGACCCCAACCTCAAAGGAGCATGCTTAGAGAGAGGGGGCTGCTGGGTAGAGGAAAGAATCTGTGCCCACCTCCACCCCCAGGTGTTGGAGGGGTTTGAAGGTGGGGCCAGGCAGCTCCATATATACCTGTATTAAAGCAGCAGCTGTGTAGGGCAGAAACCTGCCAGGGAAGAAAATACAAACTGAAATAAGCCGTGCGGTGGTAAGGTGGTGCTCGGTCAAAGCCGGAAACCTCAAGAGACGCAGAATGACCAGGAGGCCCCATCGAGATGCAGCTCTGGCAGGCTTCAAAGTGCAAAAGCGACTGTTGAAGTCAACACTCTCTCACTCACTCATGGCTAGGCAGGATAGCGCCCCGCTGGGAGTGCTGTGAGTGTGTGCCCTCTGTCCCCCATGGGCCAAGGCCTCAGCTCCCCTCCTGTGTCCACAGGGCGGGATGTACGTCTTCCAGCTGTTTGATCATTACGCTTGCAGCGGCATCTGCCTGCTCTTCCTGTCTGTGTTTGAGGTTATCTGCATCAGCTGGGTGTATGGTGAGTCGGGGGAAGAGGATGTGGCGGGGAGGGGGCTGGGGAGCAGAACCTCGAAGCCCAGCACAGGGCAAGGTTTTCCCAGGACGATCTCTCCCTTTGGGTGTTGTACTGATGTTTGGTTTTGGGATTTTTGGCGCTGGGAATTTTGTCCATTGCTGGCATTCCTCATTCCATAGCAGGCAGCATGCAGGAGCCCTGGTGGCTTAGCAGAGTAGTGTTGGACTGCTAACCTCCAGGTCAGCAGTTCAAAACCACCAGCTACCAGCTGCTCCACAAGAGAAAGATGAGGCTTTCTACATCTTACAGAGTTACAGTCTCAGACCCCCCAGGGGCAGTTCAACTCTGTCCCCAAGGGTCCCTGTGAGCCAGAATCGACGTGATGGCAGTGGGTTTGGGGGTTCAAGAGCACAGCACAATGAGCGCGGTGGCACGGTGAAAGCCTGATTTCCTCGCGCGGCACAGTGATAAGAAGAGACGAGAGGCCCTTCGCCGGTGGGACGTTTAGTCAGAGGAGAACTTCGGGGCCTCTGAGTGCGATCCTCTGCACATCCTCTTTCCAACGATGAGGTCATCACCCAGACTTTGCTTGAATGCCTCCATGGGCAGGAAGCTCATGCCTGCACTTTTGAGGTCCTTGTCCATTCCATGGATGTCAGGCACCCCTTTTTCAGAGAGAGCAAATCAACGCTTCCACCAGCGTCAGATCAGCAGCCGGATCACTGCTGTACTGCCAACGTACCTGTGATGTGAGCTCTTAACAATAAAACGACTGTGGTGTCCACCCTGACCCTCGGTGGCCAGGGGTGGCGGAGGAGGGCTGCTCCAGAGAGCTTTCAGTGGCTGGTGTTTCCGAAGCCGCTCTCCACACCATTCCTCTGAGGCATCTCTCTCGGTGGACTGGTACCTCCACCAGATGGACTCCCCTGATAACAAGAGAGGAAAAGAAGCCTCTATTTATTGAGCACCTACTATGCATCAAGACCACGCTGGTGTGCCACCCACGCTCTATCCCACCATCCACATGAAAGGAAGCTCAGAGGGGTTTTGTCTTTTCTGTACCTCCATTGGGTCAAGGGAACGCCATGCCCCTGTAACCAGGAGCAGGGCAAGGGGATGAGTAGGTGCCATATCACCGGGCTCAGGGGAAGCAGTGAGCATGAAGGGTGGTATTTTGCTACTCGGGCCTTCTGCTTGGGGAGGGCTCCGCCCTTCCCCTTCCTTGGGGAGGGCTCTGCCCTTCATGCCTCAGGCCTTCTCTGCTGTCCCAAGACTCTTTCCGAAGCTGTTCTGAGAGGATCTGCTTGACTTAGTCCCCAAGTTCACTGCCACGGAGTCAGAGGCGATGCTGACTCACAGCAACCCTGCAGGAAGGGGTACAACTGCCCCTGCGGGCTTCCGAGACTGTTAACTCTTTATGGGAGTAGAAAGCCTCATCGTTCTCCCAGCTGCTGACCTTGCAGGCCACAGCCCAGCTTGAAACTTGCTGCACCCCAGGGTGCCTCAGCTCATTCACGCGGCGGTGTCCGGTCTGCCGGAGGAGGGTGTGCTCACCCAGCACCCCCTGGGCTTTAACTGAGGTTGAATTGAGAAGAAAGGAGTTGAGTCCCTAGTATTGGGAGCTCCTGCATCAGTGCGATGTGGAGAGGTGTTTGGCGGGGTCGAGGGTGGTCTTCGACCAATCGCGGGTCTTCACTTTGAGAAGGCTGGCTCTGCCTGAAACCAGAGCGCCTGTGGTGGCCTAAGGACATTAAACAGCCAGACCAGCCAATGTTCTCTTTCTTTCTTTTTTTATAAATCACTGTATCAGGGGCTCTTACAGCTCTTATCATAGCCCAGAAATCAATAGTATCAAGCGCATTTGTACATAGGTTGCCATCGTCATTTTCTAAACATTTTCTTTCTGCTTGAGCCCTTGGTATCAGCTCCTCTTTTTTCTCTCCCTCTCCCACCCTCCCCTCCTCGTGACCCCTTTAAAACTTATAGATTATTATTATGATTTTCTTTCTCTTTTTTGTGATTAATCACTATGCTTTATTTTTTTTTAAATCATTTTATTGGGGGCTAGTACAACTCTTATCACAATCCATCCATCCATCCATTGTGTCAAGCACATTAGTACATTTGTTTTCCTCATCATTCTCAAAGCATTTTCTTTCTACTTGAGCCCTTGGTATCAGCTGCTCATTTTTCCCCTCCCTCCCCAACCCCTTCCTTCATGAACCCTTGATAATTTATAAATTATTATTATTTTGTCATGTCTTGCACTATCTGACGTCTCCCTTCACCCACTTTCCTGTTGTCCATCCCCCAGGGAGAAGTTTATATGTAGATCCTTGTAATCAGTTCCCCCTTTCTACCCAACCTTCCCTCCACCCTCCTGGTATATTATTATTATTTTCATATCTTACACCGTCCACTGTCTTCCTTCACCCATGTTTCTGTTGTTTGTCCCCCTCAGGGTGGGGGTGGGGATTATACATCGATCATTGCGATCAGTTCCCCTTTTCGACCCCTTCTCCCCCCACCTTCCCCCTTCCCCTCATGGTATCACTACTCCCATTACTGTTCCTGGGGGGGTTTATCTGTCCTGGATTCCATATGCCAAGGGCTCATATCTGTACCAATATGTATGCTCAGGTCTAGCTGGATTTGTAAGGTAGAACTGGGGTCATGAGACTGATGGTAGGGGTCAGGGGGGAAACCGGCCAATGTTTTCATGAGCACAAACCACACCATCGTTTCACCACATGTTAATGGAAGCTCAGAGGTGGTTCTTGCCAAGTCTAGACCTTTGTCCCCATCCCCGTTTCTAGCCTCGCATGAGGTGGGAGCCCCGCTGTTTCTGGGACTTGATCAGAGCTGGAACCCACCTCTGCCATGCGGACAGGCGAGCATTTATGTGGCTCTGGACCCCCATTTTTTTACTTCAATCATCTCTGTAGTTGGGATGTCCTATCCTTAGGGAGACAGGAGGAGCCACCTGGAGGGACACGTGGCCCTGGTCCCACCCACTCGCTTCCCCGAGGTGGAAAACCCAGGACCCATTCCCTGTTCTAGTTTTGAAGTAAGGGCATCGGGGAAGAACCCAGAGCCACCCGAGTCCTTCCCCAGGCCCAGGAAGTTCCCTCCCCCTCCTGCTTCCATGCTCCTGCCCACTCCCATGCCTCCTCAGGGGCAGACCGTTTCTATGACAACATTGAGGACATGATTGGCTACCGGCCATGGCCCCTGGTGAAGATCTCCTGGCTCTTCCTGACTCCTGGACTTTGCCTGGTAGGTGCCCACCCAGGAGGTTAGGAAAGGAAGGCTGCATCCTGGGACTCTGACCTTTGGGAGCTGGCCATTCCCTCTTTGGGTTTCTCTTCTTGCCCTGGCCCCCTGGAGCCGTCATGCCCATCTGCCTGCCTGCCTGCCTGACATGACTAACCTAGTTCCGCTGGCTCCCTTTCTCCTAGCACCTGATCCCTTCTGCATAAGTCTTCCATCCTTCCTGTCTGCCCGCTCCCCTGCCTTCCTGGGCATTTCCTCCTGTCCCTGTCCTCGACTGGGGAGGTGTTCACCCCTGATTTGCAATAGCTTTTGTCGTTCCACCTTGTCGGAGTGCTTGTCTCTGCCACTGACCATGCCAGTAGCTGAGGAGAAGGGGTTCTGCATGTTGGTCTCACCCGCCTCTGCATCTTCCTCTGTCCAGGCCACCTTCCTGTTCTCCCTGAGCAAGTACACGCCTCTGAAATACAACAACATCTACGTGTACCCTCTCTGGGGATCCTCCATCGGCTGGTTCTTGGCTCTCTCGTCCATGGTCTGTGTCCCACTCTTCGTCATTGTCACTGTCCTGAAGAGCCAGGGCTCTTTTAAGAAGGTAGGTGGCTAGGGAGAGGGTCTTTACAGAGAGGTATTGGACATAGGGAAGCCTTGTCGACCCATTGTCATGAAAGCCTTCCCAAGAGCCCCTGGCAGAATTCTGCTTCTGTCTCACTGACAAAAATATAGTCTTCTCAGCCTCTGTCGTGATGCTGGTCGCGAGGGAGAAGGGAGTTGAGAATGGATGTTGCAACGACTAGCCGGCTGCGTCTGCCCCATACTCGTTTGCACAATTGCAACCACAGTCATCATAGCACTACTAAGAAAAAGGGAAGCAAACTGGTCGTTACTGAATAGACACTAATGGCAATCAAACAAAGAGCAGTGACCAAAAGCAGACACAGATTGAGTACTCACTGTCCCATGTCGGCACTGATCTCAGCGTAACTAATTTGATGCAACAACTCTTTGAGAGCGGGTGGTCTTATCCTTGTCTTGCAGGTGAGCGAACTCAGGTGTGAATGAGTGGCCTAGGATCACGCAGGTCGTCGGGAGCAGAGCTGGGCCTGGAACACTCTTAATGACTACGTGGCTGCCTCAGCCTTAAACTTGTATCCATCCGTTCACGTTGGATGGAGCTGTCTCATGCTGGGCTCTGATGACACCAATGTGAAGAGACAACTTGGCCTCTCTTGCCCACAGCACCCACTCACTGTCTCTTTTCCCCCACAGCGCCTGCGACAACTCATCGCCCCTGATCCCAGCCTGCCACAGCCCAAGCAGCATCTGTATCTGGATGGGGGTGTGGGCCAGGACTGCAGGCCCAACTCAACCAAGGAGGATCTACTAGCCGGGCAGAAGGAGACCTACTTGTAGGATGTGACCAGAGGCTGGGGGGGCTACTGAGCCAAGAACCTAGGTCCACCCTATGCTCAGTGGACAACCACTGTCTTTGTCCCCTACCCAAGCCCTGCCGAGAACCTCTGGGATGCCCCCAGGTGGACTTCTCTCCTCAACGGGAGCAGCTTCTTCTGGGTGGTCCAGAGACACTACCATTGGAATACGCCATGCTGTGGACATGCATGTTCTCCATTAGAACACACCATCGTATTTATACAGGGTGGTGGTCTTTTTGGAGACCACCATTGGATGATAGCACAGTACACTGTGAGGGGGATCCCCATTGTAGGGATGTTTCCCAGCAAACACTTACTATATTTGTGCCTTGGAATGTACCCCGCGACTGACCTGGAGACCCCCAGTGGAACACACCATACTGGAAGTGACAACTCACACCATTGGACTCCAAAGTTCCTTTACAGGAGACCAGCTCTGGTGATGGAAGCCCTTCAGGGAGCTTAACATGATGAAGGTTCCCAGGGGGAAGGAACTAGAGAAACATCCGGGAGGCAAACCTTCACATGCCGTGATCGGCTGGGGCTCTCTTGATGTCAGTCTCTCAAGCCATCCCCAGCTCCAGCCCGAGTCTCAAACAGTGCTTCTCGCCATGGGGTCCCCAATGCATGGAGCACTGGAGTGGAGAAGACTAGGCGATGGACCCTAGACCTTAGAAATACACAGCCCGTGCAGCTCTACTCTCATCCTGTGTCGGGGCAGACATTGCTGATGGATCACAGATCCTTTCACACCTTGCCATCCTAAACACAGTGCTCTCGACAGTTTTGCCTGCTGTTCATTCCTGATGCTAACCCCAAACCCTCTCCTTTTCACGGGTGAAAGAAATTGAGGATGGAAGAGACTTTTGTCATACAAAAGGGCACACAATTTTATAGGCCAGGGATCAGCCCAAAGCCTGGTCTCCTTGTTCTCTGCTCACAATTCTGTCCATAACGGCAGCCTTGCCCCTAACTTCAGTTATTAACAAGCGTGTGCAGGTCTCCTGCTAACCTGATGTTTGCTGGAGCGGCGGAGAGGGGTCCCCTCAGGGGGAGGGGGAGAAGTAGCTCTCCAGAGAGGGGCTGCTAGCCTGCTGTAGTTTCCTTACCTCCACCTCCTCCTCTCCCCAGGCTTTGCTCTGAGCCTTTTTGTTCTTGCACCCTCTTTCCCCACCTCCAGTGGGCTCCGAGGAGCCGGTGAGAGCCCAGTCACCCTCAGTGGGGGTGGGTGGGAGGAGCAGGTGAGTACACAGGGTGCGCCTCCTTTCCTCGGCCATTCCTGTTCCTCTTCCCCACACTGTGCACCCCCCCTCCATACCCCAATCATACCAGCCCTTTCCCCGGTTGGGGAAATGCTTCTCAGAGGAAGACGGCAGAACTTGGCTAAGTCCAGGGTTCCTGTGTTCCAAAGGGAAGGGAGGAGAAGGGATCGGGGCGAGGTAGGAGCCCCCACATGCGCGTTCTTCACTTCGGAAGTTTCTCGGGGCAGTCCCTGGGTGCTGGAGGAAGGGCAGCTGTCTGGAGGGAATGGTGCTAGAGCATCATCCTGAGCCATTGCCCAGTGGTTGAAGTAAACGTCCGCAGCCTGGCCGGGGTGAGCCCCTGGCCGACAGCCCCAGCCATCCTCAGCCCACTCACCGCTATCCAGCTCGGGGTCTTCACAGCGTGCGTGTCGGAAGGATCTTGGCACGTGGGCCAGCAGCAGTCGGATGCCTTACAGAGTTCTTACTGGTCCCTCTGCCACCCTCTGGATGCTCTCTGCACCCGTGCTCAGCCTTCTCGTGGGAGTTGGTGGGTAAAACAGAGCCCCGGAGGAGGGAGGGGTTTTTGAGAAACTGCTTCAGCCACACTCTTCCCATTTAGGAGACTCTCTGGGTCAGAAAGCAAAGGGGGATGAGGGGGTGGGGGAGTGGTCAGAATGATCTCTGCTGCCACCGGATGTCAGGTGAGAACAGTGCCAGGTCCCGGAGCACCCTTTAGGGCCAGCAGGGAAGAGCCCTGCCATTTGGATGGACAGACTGGAGGAGGAGGGCGTGCGCTCACTCCTCCCCTGTGTGAGCTCTTTCCCACTGTCAGTCAACCTTCCCACATCCTTCTCCCCACGCCTGTGTGGGTGGGTGGAGGTGTGGGGGCTTCTGGGGAAAGTCTGCTTGTCCTGGGGCAGCCGAGGCCACTCTGGCTTCCGGCCGTCCTGCCACTTCCCCAGAGGGCGCCCTGCTCTCTAAGCCTTGGGCTTGCAGCCTGGGATGCAGCATCTTCTATTATAGGCCAGGTGGGCAGTTCTGCCAAGGGTGGGACCAGCTTACTGCCATTCTCTGTGGCCTGTGCCACACAGTCTCTGTCTCTGCCAACTTCTCAGCCACCCATGGCCCCGTCCCCTCTTCCCGGACAACTACCGTATCCTCGCCTTGGCTTTACAGCCACAGCCTGAGAGAGGGGTCCATTCGAGGTAGCCTCTCCTTTCCACCAAGTCTACACTCCCCTGGGATGCAGCATGAGGCCTCTGGGGTCAGTATGTCTGAGGGGACCGGGGGCTGCGGGCTGGTGGGAACAGAGTGTGAGGGAAATGTGCTTGAGGCCTGCTTAACAGCTCAGGGGAGCCTGCTGGCATTCGGGCCATGTGCAAGGAGCAACCATTTTACCTTTGAATGTGCCCAGAGCACTCATGCAGGTGTGTGTGTATGTGTGTGTATACACATGTATGCTGGTGTATACCCGGAGAGCTGGGGTGGTGGCTTTGAGCTGGTATCTGTCTGCAGCTCATCTCAGCTGGGTGCATTTCACACCACAGCTGGCAACCAGAGGCCGAACCTGGCAGCCGGGTGATCCATTTGGCCATCAGCTCAAAAGCCAAACGTGCTGCATCGAGTCAAACCTGACTCGCAGTCACAGTGTGGGACAGACCCGAGCTGCCACGGGGCTTCCCAGCGCTGTCACCGTACAGGAGTGGAGAGCCTCATCATGTTCTCCCCAGACAGCCCCTGTGTCTGAGCGGCAGAGGCCGCGGTTAGCAGCCCAGCTTGTCACCCCACAACGCGGGGCCCTTTTGTTTGGCCGTGAGCCTTTGCCTTTGTTTGATGGCAGTGAGGACCTGGAGGGACTCCAGGCGGCCACAGGTTTCCCTCACCCCCGAGCTTCTGGGACATTCGGGCATGAAGTTGTTTCCATTCAAAGCGTGTGCCCTGGGGGAAGAAGAAGTGGGAAACTTTGAGGCAGAGAAGAAGACAAGAAGACCAAGCCAGGGTGCCATGGTCTCAGGCGTCCCTGCCCATCTGCAGGTGGTAGGACAGCCTCTCGTGGAAGGACTTCCCATCGGGCAGACCCTCTGCTGCTACCGGTGAACTCTGGCTCAATCCCCCCTCCACACAGATGCTTCTCCGTTCCAGAGAAGGGCGGTGGCTGAGTTCAATGCCACCGCTAGGTCTGCGCTGCGCCAGGCCACAGCAGTCCCCCCGGAGCCAGAGAGACGGCAGGCAGCTTTTCACGTGTTTGGGGTCACTTCTGCCTCACAGGATGGCTAAGCAAATAGTACCCCCGCCCTTACTTTAGGCAAAGGTATTTTTATCTGTCGGCCCCCGCCTTCCTGGCCCCTGAACTCCACATGGGGACTCTTCTCATGCTGTCTGGCCGGACGCCCTGGAAAGCTGCTGGTGTCTCGGGGTGTGCTATTCCCTAACTGCTCACCTAGTTTTCCCGTGAGTCCCTCCTGCAGAGGATGGGCCTGGCGTGCCTGTCAATACTGCATTCCCCCCTTCCCTGTCGCTCCAGAGAAGCACCTCCCCCACTGCCCCGCAGGGAGGGCCAGCATGGCAGGGCGGGTGGCTCTGCCCTCTGGGAAGGGATCCTTGGCCACCCTGCTCAGGGCTGGGAGAGCTCTGGGAGCTGAAGAGGGCCTGAATGCCTGCCAGGTCTCGAACCCCCATGTGGAAGGAACGGGGCCTCTTGCCAACGGCCGGCACGAAAGTGTCAGGTGTGCAGCCCATCTCAGAAATGGACCCTACCCCGGCCGAGCGTTCCGGTGACCGCTGCCCTGTGGGCCTGAGATGCTAAGCTCGGTTAGGCGGGCTGCGAGTTCCTGACCCGGAGAAGCAGGCCTGGGGAAAGAACATGATTTGCATTCTGTGTTAAGTCCAAGTGGATGGGAGTAAGTTCTCCAGGGGCAGGGGCTAACTAACAGAACTGCCCTTTGGAGGGCCCGATCGGCTGGCCAGGGCTCTCTGGCATGCTTCCTGTCTGCGCGCTTTGCCCTCCCACATCTTCACCACTCCCGAGCCCTCCTAGCCTTGGGCCTTGCTTGTCCTCTATGCCTCGCACCGCCTGCCCGCCTCTCTGCCTGCCAAGCTCCGTCCTCACACGCCCGGCTCCCTGATGACGGCGTCCACATGACTTCCCCCGCTGGGCCCCTTGCTCAGTGAAATAACAAGGGCTGATTGGATCTGACAGGGTTGAAAAGCTTGTTAACCACCCATCGAAACAGAGAGGCCATCTGAGCTCCCGTGAGCGGGTTGGGGGGTGGAGGGGAGGCCGGGAGAACCTGGAGGGTCGCAGGGGACTGAAGCAGGCGAAAGCCTCCGTCCAGCTGCCCAATGGCCGGTCTGAGGAGCCGTCTGGCACGTGAGGGGTGGGTGAGGCGAGCACGAGATGGGCAGATGAAGGCAGGGACAGAAGGGGGAGGCTCCCTCTCTGCTGACTCCGATGCTGAGCCGAGTCCAGGACCCGACTCTCTCCATGCCCAGCCCCTCTGTGGCCACAAAGCCAGCGGCACCACGGACACAATCATTCCGAGGCTTTCTCTGCCCACGTCCATCCCCCACACACTCAAAGGCAGCTGCAACCGAACCTCCATCCTCACCTGGTCAGAGGAGCAGCAGCAGCCCGTCCCTCCCACGGTGCGGCGACTTGGCGTACACCTAGCGGTGTCACACAGAGCAGTACGCGCCAGAGCAGTGGCTCTGCCTTCCCTGTGCCGCGGCCCTTTCAGACACTTCCTCATGTGGTGGTGACCCCCCAACCATACCGTGATTTTCATTGCTACTTCATCACTGTCACTTTGCTACTGTGATGAATCGGGTGACCCCTGTGAAAGGGTTGTTTGACACCCCCCCAAAGGGGTCTCAACCCACAGGTTGAGAACCGTCCGCTGTTCCAGAATGCTCTCCAGGCTGCATCTTCAGAGAACTTGGTCACCAGGCCTTTCTCCCGCTGTGCTTTAGGTTGGCTGACCCACTGCCACCCCGTCAATTCGTATTCCAACGCACAGTGGCTTTTCATGTGGTTTCTGAGACTGGAAAGCCTTCTGGGAACAGCCACTCCCAAGGAGCAGCGGGTGGGTTTGAACTGCTGGCCTGGCGAGGGCAAACCATCTGAGCAGCCAGGCACCTAGTGGCATCACTAGCTGTGGACAGCCTCCCACCTCCACCCAGGAAGTCTCTCATCTCCAAACAGGAGGAGTCCAGGAAGTCAGTTGCACCATCTCGAGCCAGAGTCTGGCCTCAGCAAGCCAGCTGGATTTTGGACCTGTGATTGAGAGCAGGGTCCAAGGTGGGAGGAGAGTAGGGATGGGCCCACAGAGCTGCCAGAGCAAACCAGGGGACGCAGCAAAGGCAGCTCTTAGCCAGGAAATTGGGCCTCAATGCCACCCGGCTACTATTCAGGGCCTAGGGCCAGCCCCCTGCCCTCTGGCCACAGCTCAGTCTCTCTCTCTCTCTCTCTGGTCCCCCTCTTGATTCTTTAGGTTTTGGAAATAGACAAACCAACTGCCCGGAAATAATGATGACAGTTTTTGT